ACTTGTACTACTATTTCTACTTAGATGTTATCGCGGGTCTTCAGGGTACAGATCCCTCGCGATAAATGAGTGACTACTGTATGTACTGTTCTAGACTGCAAAATTTTACTCACCAGCTCTGCAGAACAGCAGCTCTGTTCTGGTCAGTCTCAGTTCCAGTTCTGCAGACCTACCCTGCAGCAACGAAGCCCACCGCCCCGTTCAGGTTGATGTGCGCGTGGATAATTGAGCTTCAGGATGCTTCAACATTATTTGCGACTTTCCTGACAGTTTTGTGAGCTTTATAGATAGATTGCTGACTTTGCGTTGCAAAACTGTCCCTCCATTTCGTCAGAAAGCAGCAGCAGTAAACACTTTTGTCTTCTGAATAGTGTAGTTCTTTTGACTGGCATTACAGTATAGGCTTCTTGAAAGAAAACTACAAAATGGTGGTGCTTGTCCGAAGTTTTGTTTTCATTAACCTTTTATCCTGTACCGTCCCAATCATGTGAGCAATATTAAAGTTGACAATTGTTGAAAAAATGTGAAAGAGTGAGTCCACGAAAGTCGAGCCACAAAGTAGAGAGGGACTAATGTACATTAACTGGTCAGCTTTTGGTTATCTCCATTCAACAAGGAAGTCACAGACTACTGACCACTGGAAATAAAAAAAAAAATGGCTTTAGCTTAGCCAACTTTATAGATATTGAGCTAACAATTTGTGCGGTAGTAAGTGCTACACACATTATGTGACATCTTTGCCTAAAACCTTGGCAATAAGTGGTGGTATCAACACTGTCTGTTATCAAATATTTTGCAAACCAGTAGTCCGATTTCAATGAAACACTCGGAGTAATCACTAAATGCACATCCAAAAAGTATTAAGCTTTGGAGTCAACCTTATTCAAGATGACTTTCACAACTAATCAACATCAAAATTAGTTAAAGTGAGAGAGGCCTTCAGTTGTTAGAAGTTCCTTTGTGACCTCACAGACTATTCCACTCCTTGCTCTTGGAGTGATATTTGTTGGTCCACCACTCCTGGGGAGGGTAACAACGGTCTTGAATTACCTCCATTTGTACACAATCTGTCTGACTGTGGATTGGTGGAGTCCAAACCCTTTAGAGATGTTTCGTAACATTTTCCAGTCTGATGAGCATCAACAACTCTTTTTCTGAGCTCCTCAGAAATCTCATTTGTTCTTGCCATGATCCACAAACAGTTGATCAGACTTTGATAGATCCATCCATCCATCCATTCCGCTTATCTGGGGTTGGGTCTCAGGGGTAGCAGCTTAAGTAGGGAGGCCCAGACATCCCTCTCCCCAGCCACTTGGGCCAGCTCCTCCGGGGGAATCCCGAGGCGTTCCCAGGCCAGCTGAGAAACGTAGTCCCTCCAGCGTGTCCTGGGTCTTCCTCTGAGTCTTCTCCCAGTGGGACGTGTCCGGAACACCTCACCAGGGAGGCGTCCAGGAGGCATCCTAACCAGATGCCCAAGCCATCTCAACTGGCTCCTCTCGACGTGGAGAAGCAGCTGCTCTACTTTGAGTCCCTCCCGGATGATCAAGCTTCTCACCCTATCTCTAAGGGAGAGCCCAGACACCATGCGGAGAAAACTCACTTTGGCCGCTTGTATCCGAGATCACGTTCTTTCGGTCACAACCCAAAGCTCATGACCATAGATGAGGGTAGGAATGTAGCTCAATCGATAAATTGAGAGCTTTGCATTTTGACTCAGCTCTCTCTTCACCATGACAGACCTGTACAGCGCCTGCTTCACTACAGACGTTGCACCTATCCGCCTATCAATCTCACGTTCCATTTTTCCCTCATTCGTGAACAAGACCCCAAGATATTTGAACTCCTCCACTTGGGGCAGGACCTCCTCCCTGACTCGGAGCAGGCACTCTACCCTTTTCTGGCTCAAGACCATGGCCTCAAATTTGGAGGAACTGATCCTCATCCTGGCCGTGTCGCACTCAGCTGCGAACCGCTCCAGCGAAAGCTGTAGATCACAGCCTGATGAAGCCAATAGGACCACATCATCTGCAAAAAGAAAAAATGCAATCCTAAGGTCAACAAAACTGATCCCCTCAACACTGCTCCTCCTGAATCCGAGGTTCGACTATCCGATGGACCCTCCTCTCCAGAACCCCCGAATAGACCTTACCAGGGAGGCGTAAGAGCGTAATCCCCCTGTAGTTGGAACAAATCTACGGTCCCCCTTTTTGAAAAGGGGGACCACCACCCCGGTCTGCCAATCCAGGGGAACTTCCCCCCAATGTCCACGCAATATTGCAGAGTCATGTAAGCCAACACAACCCTACAACATCCAGAGCCTTAAGGAACTCTGGGCGAATCTCATCCACCCCTGGGGTCCTGCCATCGAAGAGCTTTTTAACCAACTCGGTGACCTCAGCACCAGAGATTGGAGGGCCCGACCCAGAGTCCCCAGCCTCTGCTTCCTCAGTGGAAGATGTGCCGGTGGGATTGAGGAGGTCTTCAAAGTATTCTGCCTACCGACCCAAGACATCCAGAGTTGAGGTCAGCAACACACCACCCCTACTATAAACAATGTTGGTGGTGTACCGTTTTCCTCCCTGACGGTGGACCAGAATTGCCTCGAAGCTGTGCGGAAGTCGTTCTCCATGGCCTCTCTGAACTCCTCCCATGCCCGAGTTTTTTCCTCAGCGACCACCCGAGCCACATGTTGGTTGGACTGCCAGTACCCATCAGCTGCTTCCAGGGTCCCACAGGCCAAAATGGCCCGATAGGACTCCTTCTTCAGCCTGACAGCATCCCTCTCCGTAGGTGTCCACCACCGGGTTCGAGGGTTGCTGCCACGACAGGCACGACAACCTTGCAGCTGCAGCTCTGGTAAGCAGCCTCGACAATAGAGGCACGGAACATTGCCCACTCTGACTCAATGTCCCCCACCTCCCCGGAACATGTTTGAAGTTCTCCCGGAGGTGGGAGTTAAAGCTCCGTCTCACATGAGACTCTGCCAGATGTTCCCAGCAAACCCTCACAATATGTTTGGGCCTGCCAGGTCTGACCGGCATCCTCCCCCCACCATCGGAGCCAACTCACCACCAGGTAGTGATCAGTGGACAGCTCTGCCCCTCTCTTCACCCGAGTGTCCAAGACATGTGGCTGCAGATCAGATGAGACAATGACAAAGTCGATCATCGAACTGCGGCCTAGCGTGTCCTGGTACCAAGAGCACATATGGACACCCTTATGCTTGAACATGGTGTTCATTATGGTCAATCCATGACGAGCACAGAAGTCCAACAACAGAACACCACTTGGGTTCAGATTGGGGGGCCATTCCTCCCAAACACAACCCTCCAGGTCTCACTGTCATTGCCCATGTGAGCATTGAAGTCCCCCAGCAGAACAAGGGAGTCCACAGGAGGTACAATTTCCATTACCCCCTCCAAGGACTCCAAAAAGGGTGGATAATCTGAACTGCTGTTTGGTGCATAAGCACAAACGACAGTCAGAACCCGTCCCCCCTTCACGTAGGCAGAGGGAGGCCACCCTCTCATTCACCGGGGTGAACCCCAACACACAAGCACCAAGATGGGGGGCAATAAGTATGCCCACTCCTGCTTGGCGCCTCTCACCAGGGGCAACTCCAGAGTGGAAGAGTGTCCAACCCCTCTCAAGGAAACTGGTTCCAGAGGCAGAGCCATGCGTAGAGGTGAGTCCGACTTTTTCTAGCCGGAACCTCTTAGCCTCACACACCAGCTCAGGCTCCTTCCCCACCAGTGAGGTGACATTCCACATCCCAATAGCCAGCTTCTGTAGCCGAGGATCTGACCGCCAGGGTCCCCACCCTTGGCCACCACCCATCCCACATTGCACCCGACCCCTTTGGCGCCTCCCACAGGTGGTGAGCCCATGGGAAGGGGGAACCACGTCTCCTCTTTGGGCTGTGCCCGGCCGAGCTTCATGGGTAAAAGTCCGGCCACCAGGCGCTTGCCCGCATGCCCCACCTCCAGGCCTGGCTCCAGAGTGGGGCCCCGTTGACCCACGTCCGGGCGTGGGAACATCAAGTCCATTTGAGCATGCATCAGGGTATCAAGTCCATTTCTTTTTCTCATCATAGGGGTGTTTGGGCTGCACTTTGTCTGGTCCCTTACCTAGGACCTGTCTGCCTTGGGTGACCCTACCAGGGTCGTGAAGCCCCTGACAGCATAGCTCCTAGGATCATTGGGACACTCAAACCCCTCCACCACAGTAAGGTGGCAGCCCAGGGAGGGGGTTGATAGATCCATGTTCTTTAAATCAAACAGGGTGCCCACTCACACCTGATCATCAACCCATACTCTAATTTCACCTTCAAATTAACTGATAATCCTAGAGGTTCACATACTTTTACCACTTACAAATATGTACTACAGGATCATTTTCCTCAATAAATAAATGACCAAATATAATATGTTTGTCTCATGTGTTTAACTGGGTTCTCTTTATCTACTTTTAGGACTTGTGTGAAGATCTGATTATGTTTTAGGTCATATTTATGCAGAAATGTAGAAAATTCTAAATGCTTCACAAACTTTCAAGCACCACTGTACTCTAAGCCATAACAGGTTGTACAACAGCTTTGTTTAATATGTTGGCCTTCAAGGCAGTACAGACAAAATCTTCCTTCCCAAGAGAACATACCTGGAACTTTATTGAGTTATTCTTAAAAATATATAATACTATAAATGATAGTTAGTTAGTACAAGAATTTAAGGGGATATTGTATAATTTTTTGCTCCTGTTTATGTTTAATTCTTCTTGTTCAGGCGTCTGATGTCTCTGAAGGAGGACATGGCAACAGGTGAATGGCAGTACAATGAGATCTGTATGGGACGAGACCAAACCTGCAGATTTCCTAAACTCATCAACACTTATTACAGATACATCATCTCCTTTGCTGAGGATGAAGCAGGTAATGACTGTGTGTGTTCATAGATTTCTCTTTTCACCAAGTATCACAAGACTTGTTTAGTTTAATCTTTTCAGAGGTTGAGAAAAACTAATCTTCAAACCTGCACACTGTTCAGTACATGATGTACTGTGTGGGTCTCTGTTTATGATGAGCCTGCAAAATTGTACTAGAAGAAATCTGGTCTGAATTATTAGTTGCTGATTTACAAGTTGGCGAGTGTTGCACATATGCATTAAGTCCTTCCAACTTTCCTTTTTGATGTATCCCCCCCCCCCCCCCCATTTTTATTGAGCTGTCTGAAATGATCGATTTCAGCAAAGCACAGGAATTGCAAATAATGTTTGTCTGGCCATTAGTGCATGCAAGTTGTGAGCGTAATAATGTTAAAGAAGTAAATGAGGTACTAACTTCCTTTTTGGTGTGTGGCTGCATTTAGGTGTAAAAATTGTTCCATTTGAAAATTGGAATATCACGTGAAAATGCAAGATGGCCACCATTGTACACATATATAGCTATATAGAAAGAGCGATATATATATA